CACACAGCCAGCCACTCTGCAGCCACACACACACACACACACACACACACACACACACACACCGTGGGACCTCCTCCCACAGCCCTGAGACCAAAAGGGACAGGAAGACCCAGGTCTGGGGAATGGGGGCGGCGGGCTGGCAGCAGAGGGAGCAGCTCTGGAGGATAAAATGCTAGGTCAGGGGCTTCTTGCCTCCAGGGCAGCCTCCTCCTGGCCTCAGCCGCACGCCCTGGGCCCTGTCCTCTCTCCAGGTCCCTCCAGGAAGCCAGGCACCTGCAAGCAGGCCTCTCACCCTGATGTCGGGGAACTGGCCCAAGTACGTGTCCATGGTCACCAGCGCCTGGTCCACCAGCTTCTGATGGTAATCCATCCACAGCAGGTCATTGTTCTGAGGTGGGCAAGAACACGACAATGTCACCAGGGTGCTGGGCCACCCTCGTCCCAGCACTCACCTCCCAGGGACCAGTCTCAGCCCCATCTCTTTACAGATTGGTGGCTTCTCGGAGCCTTAGTTTCCCCATGTGTAAGATGGGGGCAACAGTTCCTGCCCTACTGGTGACTGTGAGGATCAGATACGCTGAGGACTGGGGTCAGCCAGGGAGGCTTTGTGAGTCGTGAGCCGTAACACACAAGTAAGGACGATCACGACCCACCATCTGACCCACCTTGGTGTGAGGGTGTGTCAGGAGAACAGCCCTCAGAGAGGAAGGGCAGCTTACCCAGGGCACACAGCACGTGAACACCTGAGAATCACAGCGGCTTGTCCCAGAGGGTCCGGCCCAGTGGGACCGGAGCTGAGGACAGAGCGCCCTCCAGGAAGGGCCAGGGCCGCAGGTTCCATGCTCACCTCTGCGATTTGTTGGCCTAAACCCTGCCGGGCCAGTCAGGCTCATACACCTCCTGCAGACACTCATTCAGCTTCTTGGAGGCCTCGTGCATGGCTGTGGGGCAGGAAGGAAAAGTGCAGATCTCCCACTGATAGCCCTCGCCCACCCTCCCAGCTCTGCACCCACCAGCTCCCCATGGATGCACCCTGCCTGCCTCCTACCTTTGACGGAGGCCAGGTAGGTCCAGAGATCCTTCTGCAGCCAGGTGCCTTCAGTCTGCAAAGTGAAGACTGGTGGCCCACCCGGTCCCTGACCCTCTCCTTCCTGCCCCCCCTCACATGGATGAACCAACCACGCTGCTCTCCTGACAGCAGCCACTGATCAGCTGACTTCCCAACAAGACAGCAGCTGGCACCTGCCCTCTTCCAGATGGCATTTGCAGCCTGGGAAGGAAGGCAGGAAGACAAGGACCACCCTGCAGGATGACAGGTTGTGCGTACGGCTGAATGACACACAGACAGCACAGCACCCGTGAGCAGCAGGACCATCACTCACAGACCTGCACTCAGACACCTGCGGACAAGTGACTGAGCACAGGAGTACAGCCAGGGCAGTTGTGGTGACCGCCAGTCCCCCTGCACCACAAGCTCATGAGGTGCCCAGGGACAGAGAGCTCCCACTGCCTCCCACTAGGGAAAGCGGGCCCAGCCCGAGCCTTTACAGGGACAGAAGACCTGCGGAAGAGAAGGCATTGGAGCAGATGTGCAGAATGTGGGGGTCATGGCCAAGACTCTAAGGACACTAGGGTCATAGGCTGTAGTGGGAAAAGGCTGAGCAGGCAGTGGGTTGGGTGGTGACACTCCCTGAGCTGGGAGGTTGGTATCCAGGGGCCTCCAGAGACAGCAGGACCAGCTGAGAGGCTAGAAGCCTGGGACAGGCCTCAAGTCCCTCTTGGACATCAAAACCAGAGCCAGGAAAGCTGAGTGAAGAACTCCAGGTTCCAGGAGGGGTGAACAACAGGCGAGGCCAACACTGAGGTCTGAGACCACACTCAGTGAGACGCGGAAGTTTCCAGAAGCATGTGCAAAGAGTGGGCCACACACAAGCTTTGAGGCCATGCAGACCCAGCTGTCAATTACTAGCCACGCAGCCCTAAACAAGCTAGTGAGCCTCTCTCAACCTCAGTCTCCTCATCTTTCAATGGAAGGTAAATGATCCCTGCCTGGCACTCCTCAGATCCAGTGAGCAGGGCCAGGACCCGGAGACTAGAAGGCAGGCTCGGGAGATGTGCCTCATGCTAAGGACAGGAACCCGAGGCAGAGATGGGACTTGGGAAAGCCGCAGTGGCTGAGGCTGACCTTCGAAGGGAAGGGCACCCTCCTGGCCTCACCTCCCTGCCACCAGCTCAAGCCTCAGAGACATCCATGTTCTGGACACCTCCTGCCCCGGAGGAGGGACAGCTGGCCCGGTCCCAGGAGACCCAGCATGCCTGCAGAGCTCCAGCCTGGCCAGCTTCATGCTTCCACAAGAGCTGGAAGGTGGCCCCATCATTTCAGGTCAATCTCCAAGCAAAGGCCAGCCGGGACCCGGCCACCTCCACAGACTCACCCCAGCACGACACCCTCAAACCCACTTCTGTCTCCCCACTACAGGCCTCTCGCTGTCTGCAGCCGGGGCAGCTGTTCCTGCCCTGGTGCCCTGGCGGTCAGCACCTTCCATGCAGTCACCTTGACACCTGTGCCCCACCCGACAGCACAGACGCGGACAGAGGGTCAGTGACCGGCCCAG